ATGGCTGTGCCGCCCGTCGCGCTCTCCCCGCTGCCCGCCCGCCACTGGATCCAGTAGATCGCGCCCTCTCGCACCGGCACGCCTTTGTCTGAGACGTACAGCTGGTAGTAGCCGGTCGGTCGGTGCCCGGCTGCGGCGGCCGGCGGCGTGAGCCCTACGGCGTGGCTCGGCATCGCCCCGGTGGGCCGCGCGGCCGGTTTTGTGGCGCGGGAAGCCTCGCGCGACGCGCCAGTATGGGGGCCAAATCTAGCGGCTAAATGCCGGTGTTTTCGTGGTCAACGGTACGGACTGGGCTGGCGCAAAAACAGGGGGGAAGGATTAGTGCGGACCGCCTCGGTATACAAAATGCGCCTGCGGGCGGAGACCCTTACAGATCACAGATCACACTCAGGGATTTCAAGAAGAGGGGTGTAGCGGGTGGAGCTCGGGGCGCAGAGAGGTCGAGGGTTTCCCGGATCCCGCTTGTCCTTCCCATCAATGCGGCGCGCGCGCCGGCGGCGGCGCGGTCATGCCATGACGAATGAGAGTCATGGGCGCGGTCTCGTGGAATTCCACCTCCCCCATCACACAAAACCAACACGCGTGTGTCACACAAACCCCGCCGGCGGCCTGCCACCGCCGACCGCACATCGGACCGCAGAGCAGAGGCTCCGGGCCCAGGCCCTCGCTGGTCGCTACGCGCCACCGGAGCCCGCCCCGGCGCCGTCCTCTCGCCTAGCCGACGGGTGGCGAGGGCGCCTCCGCGCTTGGCCACGCGATCCAGAGGAACATGAGGAGGACGACGGCGAAGATGCCGCGCAGCACGGCCTTGTTCGTCGCTGCGCGGCGGCCCATCTGGCGCAGCACGCGGCGCGACGCCTCCAGCCCCTCGCGCGCGGCGCCGAGCGTGCCGCGCGTCCGCATCAGCGTCTCCCGCTGCCGCGCAAGGTCGCCCATGATGGCGGCTCCCCGCTCCTCCATGTCGAGGGTGGCGGCGTGCGCCTCGCGCAGCCGGTTGGTCGAGCTCGCCAGCCGGTCCGAGTTGGCCAGCATCCGCTCGCTCTCGTCGCGCCCGCCTCCGTCCCCGCTCGCCGCCGAGAAGAGCTCCTCGCGTATGCAGTCCGAGGCGACGGCGGCCGCCTGGCGCGCGTCGGCGCGCGTCGCCTGCGCGATCGATGGCGGAGGCGCGTGGAGGTGCGTCCGGCGGGAAAGTCTGCTCTCCTCTTCACATGATGGCCGCGTGGCACACGGGCGCGGCAGAGGTGCACACGGGCGGCGCACCTCCCGCAAGCGGCGTGAGAGGTCTGTCAGCTCGGAGCGGTAGGCGCGGATGCGCGAGGAGAGAGGCGCCCGCTCCGTCTTTGGGAGAGCGCCCGCCTCCATCTCCAGCATCGACACCACCTCGCGCGCTGCGTCGATGGAACGCGACGCCGCCGCCGCCGCCTGCTGCCGGTCGTCGCGGTCCGCAGTGGCCCTGGCCGTCTCCAGGTGGGCGGCGGCCTCAGAGCTGTGCGCGCGGTACTCGTCCTCGTACTCGTCCATTATATATCACAGAAACGATGAGCAGGCCTCCTCGGTAGAAACTTGAAAAAAGAAATAAACCGCGACGGTGTGCTCAGATTGGGCGGCGCTCGTCGGCGTTGCGGCGCTATGGCGCTCGCGGCGCGCTCGTGGCGTTCAGGGCGGCTCGCACAGCGCCCACCCACGCACACACGCACGCACGCACACACACACACACACACACACACACACACACACACACACACACACACACACACACACACACACACACACACACACACACACACGCACACGCACACACGCACACACACACACACACACACATGCATGTACAGACACACAACCCCTTCCCCTTCCCCCACAAGGGCGAGGACACACACAGGACGCACCTCTAGCGAGGCCCGCATGGTATGTGGGACTGTGGGAGACTCCTGCCGCCGCCCCTGCCACCCCTGTCAGTGTGCCTGTGGTTGCGAGAGACTGCCAGTGAGAAGCTGGAGGCAGGTCGCTAGACTGAGATGAGACCGCCAGTGGAAGTTGGGAGTCCACCGTGCCCCGCGCTGCGAGCCTGTCGTGTCCCTTGTCAGGAGCAGGAGAGCCCCACCGACCGGTCCCCCTGATCGTCCTTCCAAAATCCTGCTCGTGCAGGTGGGGACCCTGTCCTCCTCCCCATCCCTCGTTTGGGTTTGTCAGCGGAAGAAGCGACAAGAGAGAGAACGACGAGAGTGGGACGACCGCGAGGTGGCATGAAGGTTGCAACGAGAATTGGCGAGGGACTGCGAAGAGAGATAGGAAGAGGCGGACGCCCAAGGGTGGGCGACGGCTAGCGCATCACACCCTCTCTTTTTTTCTGATTCCAACACACACACACACACAAACCCAAACAGGCTAAACTTGAAAAAGGATAACGCACGCGCCCTCAGCGGAGCTGGGAAAAGGACCGCCGCAAGCGGCGTGGCGTGGGTCGGTTGTGCATCCCTCCCAGGCCCCTCTGCGCCTCGCTAAACTTGAAAAAAGAAAACCGGAGGCCGAACGCACACTGAACCGGACCAAGTGTGAACGCACACTGAACCGGACCAAGTGTGAACGCACACTGAACAGGACCAAGTGTGAACGCACACTGAACCGTACCAAGTGTGAACGCACACTGAATGTGAACGCACACTGAACCGTACCAAAGTGTGAACGCACACTGTCACTGAACCGTACCAAAGTGTGAACGCACACTGAACCGTACCAAAAAGTGTGAACAAGTAGGAGCAGCAGCTCCTGAGCACGGCGCCGCAAGCGCCTGTTGATCGAGGTCCAGGTGATAGCCCTGGATGGGCAATGCGTACGTCTAGTTGCACTTGTATTGTAGAGAGTGACTGACCAGTTTCAGTGCTTGTATTGTAGAGAGTGACTGACCATGTCGCATGTGCACAATATCTCTCAGTCTAGCTAAGCCAGGGGGGGGAGGCGATGCCGGGGCCGTGCAGCACTGCAGCTTGCTTGCTTCGCCGGTGTGCGTCCCGGACCGCGGTCCCGGACCGGGGCGGTCCGGTCCGGCCGCCCCGTCCGGGAAGAAAATCGGGGGACAGCGCCGACACCGCTCTGATCGACTTTTAGCTGCAAAAAGACAGAGGCACGCGCCGCAGCGCGGTGCGGGCTGAGGGCCAAAAAGCAAAACGCGCAACGCCACTCTCGCATCTCAGAGCGGTGTTATATCTCAGTAACCCCGCTCGCGGGTGCTAGAGCAGCGTTCTTCAAGCTTAAACCCCACTCTACACAACACAGAGCAGCGTTTGCCTAACAAGACTCCGCTCTGCAACCTTCAGAGCGGACTCTTGCTCAGAAAAACACCGACCAAACACGTTCGAGCGGAGTCAAGTCAGTGCAACACCGCTCAACATAGCGGGAGCGGTCAATTTCCACGGAGAGGCTGCTTTCGCCTCCCTCAGTCGCGCTCTTCTTTCCTCCTCCTCTTCAGAGCGGGACTTTGCTGAGTGAACACCGCTCTAGCTAGTGAGAGCAGCGATTGCTTTAAGCTGACACCGCTCTAAATGGCGTGCGCGGCGTCGCCCTGAAAGCTGAATAGACGCTGCTCTGGGAGCGACGCCGGGACGGCGATGCCACCTGACGCCGACGGGTGATCCACGATCGCTCGTGGCGCGCGGCGCGGCGTGGCGAGCCCCGCCCCTGGGGTTGAGCAGCGTGTGGGTGGGTCGTCACTGCTCCGAGTAGTCAGAGCGGCGTCGCATTTAGTGATACGCCGCTCACGCCATTTAGAGCGGTGTCAGCTTAAAGCAATCGCTGCTCTTACTAGCTAGAGCAGTGTTCACTTAGCAAAGTCCCGCTCTGTGAAGAGGAGGAGCGAAGGAGAGCGCGACTGAGGGAGGCGAAAGCAGCCTCTCCGCGGAAATTGACCGCCCCCGCTATGTTGAGCGGTGTTGCACTGACTTGACTCCGCTCGAACGTGTTTGGTCGGTGTTTTTCTGAGCAAGAGTCCGCTCTGAAGGTTGCAGAACGGAGTCTTCTTAGGCAAACGCTGCTCTGTGTTGTGTAGAGTGGGGTTTAAGCTTGAAGAACGCTGCTCTAGCACCATCGAGCGGGGTTACTGAGATATAACACCGCTCTGAGATGCGAGAGTGGCGTTGCGCGTTTTGCTTTTGGCCCTCAGCCCGCGGTGCGTGCTAGGGTGCGTGCCACTGTCAGGAGCGGATCCGTTTATAGTTAGTCGTGTTCACGCCTCGGTTCCGACGCCGGGGTCGTGTCCTCCTCTCCGCCACCAACCACTAACCTGGGGCTGCATGCACCAGGCGAGGCGAAGGGCGTCTCAAGACTGCGGGCGCCGCTCCAAGCCCGCGCGCCGCCCGGAAAAGAATCGTTACTTGCTATCTCTTTCACACAAAGTGCTTACAACTGCCACACTGAAAAAAAGGATAGAGAGACACACACAAAGAGGCAGAGATTACATATGTCATAATCCGAAACCGAGTCCGGTGTGCTGCCGTTAGACGTGATCTATTATTGGCTGAACTGTCCTGAGACCTCCTTTTTGATGTGTGGCTGATTACACGGTTGCTTACTACTCTATTGTGTGGCTGGTGAGCCACAGAGCCTCCGACACACTCAGCGTCTCTGGCCAGTGTGCGACTTCACGTGTCTAGTTTGTTCAAGTTCCTCGCTGTCAAGAGGAGGGGTGTTAGACATGTAGCATGTGCATGTGCATGTGCATGCGCATGTCCATGTCCATGTGCATGTGCATGCTCATGTGACATGTCATGTTCATGGACATGTCCTCGTAGCGGTTCGGCTTTTGGCTGGGTTCGAGTGGCTGCTTGTTCGAACCCGGCCTTGCTCTGAGGGCGAGGCAGCGCGCCAATCCCAGGCGCCAATCGAGGCAGCGATGCTCAGCCAACTCCTCAGCACCCACCGCTGCACACGTGCATGTGCATGTGCATGTGCGTGTGCATGTGCGTGTGCGTGTGCACGTGCATGTTGTTGTGGATGAGACTAAACTAACACGATTCCTGCTCCGCTGAGTCAAAGTGGCTCGCTGCTGCGCTGTCGTCAACTTCGCATCCATCCTCAATGCTCCCAAATCCTGCAGAAAAAGAGCGGTCCCCGAGAATGAGCCCACGGTTCTCGTCCGAGTTCTGTGGGCCTCCGGCCTGGTCAAAGTAAGGCACGAGTGCATCTACGAGCCCCTGCATGACGCGGGTCGTACCGTTGGCATAGTGGATTATCGGTGCAGTTGAGCCACCGACCAGCTTGCTGCCCGCTATGTTCCACCAGCACCAGCCAATGCCAAGCTCTTGCGCGAGCGACATGACATCGCGGATGTAGTCGTATCCTCCGACGCTTGCGTTTGCCAGCACCTTGTGCGCCACTTGCCACTGGTTGATGAAGATGGGCTTCTGCGCATTGAGTAGTGGGGCGAGGTAGGTGTACATGTTGTGCTGGTGGAAGGCATAGTCAAGCATCAACATGTCGTCAACGCTGCTCAGGTTCCAGGTAGGACACACCATGGGCGCCTATTAACAGCGAAAGGCGTGAATCGCGTCTCTTCACCCTGAGGTGTGAATGCCGTCCGGCGTCTTCTCAGCGCGCGCCCACGGATTCCCACCATATAGCCTAGTACACGTGTACTCGCGGTTGTAGCCGCCGTCGCGGAACATGGAGCGGCCAAAGACAAAGGAATCGGGCGTGAAGTAGTCGAATGTGTAGAGCACGAGCGGGTTCTCCATGAGTATCGACGGGGACACCGTCCAAAGCTTGTAGTACGGAGCCGTGCCGACGACGCATAGAGTACGCGGATCTGCCCCCTGCGCCGCCGCGCACGCGCTAACGTAGAAATCGTGCACCGCCTGCGTCGTCAGGTTCTTGTCGCGAGGCTCGGCGAGGACTTCGTACCCAGCGATGCCGTCGAACGACGCATAATGAGCCGCCACGTGCCGCCACACCGCGTGGTGCTGCGCACGCAGCGTCGCGTTCCGGAAGACGTTATCGCCAGGCGCATCCCTCCAATCCTGCCCAGCGCCGTACTTGGACCGCATCGCGAGGATCACCCACTGGCCACTGCGAGTCGCTGCCTCCACCAGCTCGTCGAGCCAGACGAAACATGAATCGTTGAAGAAGTGTGGCGGCTCTTCGGTCGCACAGTCCCAAAGCTCGCGGTCTTTGCCTGCCTTCCTGTTCTTCCAGAGCACGCCCACTATTCGCGCAACATTCGACCCGAGTGTCGCGGACCAAGCCGCGTCGCGTAGCTCCAGCGCACCCGTGCTCTGCTTGGGCACCCAGTTGAAGCCCGTGAGTCGGATTGACCCGCCGGATGGGTCATACAGCCTGCTTCCCCGCACTGTGAGCCGAGAGGGGGGCGGCGGCACAGGACCGAAGAGAAGGCCCCTGGCAGGGCCAGGCAACTCGGCGCACCCGCTCGAGATTAACACCGTGACCAGCCACATCCGCAGCAGCTGTATCTCTCGCTGTTAGGCGAACGCTTGGTGAGCGATTTCGCCGCACGTGCCGCTGTATTTCAGATACGACTGATTGTCGCCGTTTCGTTGACTTCATTCCTCTAGCCAAGGAGAAGAATTTGCAACTTTCGGGGCTGAAAAACCACTTAAATGGTGGGCGACGGCTAGCGCACCACACTCCTCTCCTTAAAATCCCTGTGTGGTGGCGGCGTGCCGTCCTCCCATCCCTCCCTCCTATTTCTTTTCTTTTTCCATGTGAAATCACGAACCCTGTCGAGACGCAGTCGCACCGCGTGCTGGGCACGGCTACAGGTGTACGGGTCGGCGCCTCCCTTCAGGTGCGTTTTGATGACACGGATACTGCAATAAAAATACCGATCACATCTTTTTTCCGCCGCGGCTGCTGCCTCCGCCAATACGACGGCGGGCGCCGCCGGCCGCCGCCCCTGGAACGCCTCCGAGCCCTCAGCAAACGCGTGGCACCGCCGGATCACGTCCGCACACGCTGCCTTGCATGCCTCCGCCTTGCAAAAGTGAAAAGAGCCGGCACACTCTCCCTCCAGTGAGCGCACGGACAGCGTGCTCACGATCCGGAGCAGCAGCGCGCGGCATGGTTTCTCTCTGAAGAAGTTAGGTTAGGTTAGGTTGGTAGGGAGGTGAAGAACAGCCAGGCTCGGACTGGACACCAACGCGGTATGGGTGGACGCGAGACAGATGATGACGACACGCACGAGCGACACACAGACACAAACAGGCTCACAAGACACACAGCCAGTTGGCTGCCACACACCCTGAGAGCTGAGTACACATAACTCTGAAGAAATAGGAAGACAAAGCATTTCACGGTGTGCTCAGATTGGGCTGCCAGAGCCGTTCGATTTCTCGTCCTGAAAGGGTTAAAAAGAAAGAAAGAAAATAGAGAACCCAAGGGAGGGATGGGAGGACGGGTTATACATAAAATAAATAAAACGGACACGCCAAGGGGGGTATGGTCTCGAGGTGGGTTGCGTGATGTGACCATACCTTACCCCGCGAAAAAGTCCGAACTCAGCGCTGCTGTCCGCCGAGCCCGAGGCCACCCGGCCAAAACGCAAAAAGCGCATATCTTGAAGGTCCGATACTGGAAGCCCATATAGGCACCACACTCCCCCGCAGTATCGCACCTCTTGAGTAGGGTGCCCACAGGACCCAATAAAAGAAAGGGAAAAAGAAATGGGGCACCCCCGATCGCAGCACTTCATGTTGGATAGTCGAGAAATTGAGAGTGTGACTAGGAGGGTGGGACGCTGGGGATTCTCAAAGGTATACCCTTGGAATGGCCGGATCCAGCCTTAAAAGTACGAGATCGCGCGCGCTTCGCGCGCTGCACCGCCTGTTCTCCGCGGCTGAGTGACGACGCGTGCCGTGTGCCAGCACAGTTGCGCGCGCGCGACGCGACGGCGCCCGCGAGGGAAGGCGCGGGTGCAGCGGCCGCCGGCGGCCGTGCCGCCCGCCAGCCGGCGCAGCAGCGGCCAGCGCAGCGGCCGCCGGCGCAGCAGCTAGAGCAGCCGGTGCGCGCCTTGCGAGGCGAGTACTGCCGCCCGGCAGCCTTGAGGCGGCCGGGCGGCAGTACTCCCCGTGCGCGCGCCGAGGCGCCCGCGGCGCGCGCCCGCCCGGCTGCCAGTAGGAGGCGGCGCAATATGGCCTATAGTACAGCCCTTGAGGAGGAGGAAGAGGCTGGCTGGCAGTGCTGTATGCCGCCGAGGGGCAGTTTTTGGGGTGCTGTCCCCATCCCACGGGGCTGCAGAAGGCGTCCGCAGCCGGGACAACCCGCCCCCCCAGCCGAGGCCGGTCGAAGCCCACTTGCAAGCAGCCATGAGGAGTCCTCTTGGTGCTCCTGGCGGCCGTTGGAATGGCGAGCGCGCGCCGATGGGGGGGGGGGGGGTCTTGCTTGCTCCACACCGAGCGCCATCGGTCCGGACCGGTGCTTGCACCGAGGGGTGGCTTGCACAAGGTCTGAGCCGCGGGCGCTCGGCGCCAAGTGCAGTGTCACGCTCGCACGCGAAGGGGACACAATGGGAAACCCTCGTTTCCTAGTCACTCGGTCCCCCAACGGAAGAGGCCTCGCTCCTATTGGAACACTCCAACATCAGATTTGCCTCGTGCGTCCCTTTTTGAGCCGGAAAGCTATTTTCTTTTGGGTCCTGTGGGCACCCTATCTTGAGCGACACTCACTACGTTTCCGCAGCTGGGGATCCTCTTTGTACCCGCCCGTGCTGGCCGGATTCTTCCTTCCTCCTCCGACCGAACAACTCAAGTTCGATCGGCCCCAGTCTCGAACTGGCAGCCACCATCTCACCGGAGGTACCGTGTTCGAAGAGGCCACCGGCCAAAAGCGCAGACTGAAGGTCCGATACTTGAAGCCCTGTCTGTATGTATGTAGGAAGGTGAAGAACAGCCAGGCTCGGACTGGACACCAACGCGGTATGGGTGTGGACGCTGGACAGATGATGACGACACGCACGAGCGACACACAGACACAAAGCCCTAATGGACTTACTGCCTACAACACAGCGGAAAAAAGAAGGAGTCCTATATTGGCGCGGCCCTAGGGTCAGGCTCGGACTGGACACCTCCTACAACGTAGCGAAAAAAGAAGGAGCGTCGCCTCTCGACTCGCGGCAAGCCGGGCCGACATCGCCTCGGCCGTCCGGGGAGAAAACATGGTCGACGACAACAATGCTCAGGAAGTCGACGAGCCTCCTCTCTTCAAGTACCAGCGGCTGGGCAGGTCCGTCCCGCTCATCCTAGGCTCCGACGCCGCCTCCTCCCTCGCGGTGCACGCGCGGTTCCTCGTGCTCGGCACGGCGTCGGGGGCGCTCCACATCCTCGACCCGTCGGGCCTGGAGCTGCGGCGGTTCGCGCCGCACTCCTCCGCGGTGACGGGCGTCTCGATCGACGCGTCGGGAGAGTTTGTCGGCTCGTGCTCGCAGGACGGTACCGTCGTCGTGAGCAACACGATCAGCGGCGAGGGCTCAACCCAGTGGTACCCGCGCCCGGTGCAGAGCATCGCGCTGATGGACTCGGCGGGCGACTTTGCCTCGCGCCGCCCGGTGGCGACGGGCGGTCTGGCGGGCCAGCTGGTGCACTCCGCTCGCGGCTGGTTCGGCGGCGCGAAGGACACCGTCCTGCACGCGGGCGAGGGGCCCGTCACGGCGGTGGCGTGCGGCGGGCCGCTCATCGCGTGGGCAAACGACGTGGGGGTCAAGGTGTTTGACACGGCGCACAACCGGTGCGTCTCGTTCGTCGAGCGGCCGTACGAGCGGCCGCCCTCCGACCTCTTCCGGTGCCAGCTGCTGTGGTCCTCTCCCGCCGAGCTCGTCATCGGCTGGGCCGACTCGATCAAGCTCGGCGTCGTGCGCTCGCGCGGCGGCGGCGGGCCAGACTCAAAGGGCCCGCGGCTGTACATGGAGGTGGTGGCGCTGCTGCAGACGGACTTCTTCGTCTGCGGCCTCGCCACCGCCAGGCTGCGGCGCGAGGGCGGCGCTTGGGCGACCGACCTGCTCGCGCTCGCCTTTGTGCCAGACGACGAGGCGGCCGGGCAGGAGCAGGACGGCGGCGGGGGGGCGGCGGGGGGGCCGGCGGCGCCGCCGGAGCTGAGGCTGCTCACGCTGCGGAACGAGGAGATCCTCTGCGACTCGCTCTCCGTCGAGGGGCACGAGGCGCTGACTGCCGCGCAGTACACGCTCGCCGCCGCTCCGCCGCCGCCGCCCCCCGCCTCGCCCTCGCCGCTGCAAGCGCTGCCTCAGCCGCCGCCGCCGCCGCCGCCGCCGCCGCCGCCGGGGACGCCGCCGCCGCCGCCGCCGCCGCCGCCGCCTCCGCCGCCGCCCCCGCCCTCCCGAGACCTCAACCCGATGATGGCTGCCCGCGGCGCCCTCTCTGCCGCCGCCACCTCGGCAGCCTCCGCCGTCGGGGGCGCTGCGGCGGCCGCCGCGGCCGTCGTCAACGCCGGCGGAGCGAGTGCAGCGTGGACGCCGCTCGCGGCAGCGGCGGCGCGCAGCAGCGTGGCGCCCGGCGGCTGGGAAGCGGCGTACCAGTGCGCGGGGTGCCTCGGAGGGCGGCGCGGCCGACGGCGTCCCTTTGACGCTCCTCACCGCGGCTGCGCTGTAGGTGCGACGACCTCTCCGAGATGACTGCGTACGTCGTCGCGCCTCATGACATCGTGGTGGCTCGCTCCTTCTCGTGGGACGACCGCATCGCGTGGCTCCTCTCGTCGGGGAGGTTCGAGCTCGCCCTCACCCTCGCCAGCAGGCACACGGCCAGCCTCAGCCGCCACACGCCCCTCGCGATCGCCGAGCAGTACGCGGCCTCGCTCCTCGAGGCGCCGCACGCCGCACCTGCGAGCTGCGCGCCCGGGAGCAGCACGCCGGCGCCGGCGGACGGCGGCACGGCGAGGGGAGGGGAGGTGGGCGGAGCCGGTTCGGCGGGTCTGAGGGCTGAGGGCGCGGACTCGGACAGTGGCAGCGGTCTCAGCCAATCGGAGCAGGGAGGCGAGCTCGAGGCGCCCGCCTCGGTGGCGGCGCGCGTCCTGGCGTCGCAGCTCGGCAACGACGCCGCGCGCTGGCTGCGGTGGCTGCGTCGCTTCGCCGCCGTCGGCGCAGTCCGCTGGCTCGTCGAGGCGGTGCCCGTGAGGCCGCCGCTGCAGGGCGCGGGAGGCAGCGCCTCGGACGTGTACGAGAGCGCGCTCGAGCTGCTGATGAGGGAGGCGCCCGCCGAGGCGCTCGCCTACCTCCGCTCGTGGCACCCCTCCCTCTGGAGAGAGCCGGTATTGCGCGATGCGGCGACCGCGGCGCTGCAGCACGCGAGGGCGGCGGCGCAGCCGGCGGCTTGCGCGGCGGCGGCGCTCGCTTCCGAGCTGGCGGCGGCGGCGGCGGAGGCGGACCGGGTGTCAGAGATGCGGGGACGGGCCGGGTGCACTGCTTGCGCGCTCGCCGCGGCTTCGGAGGCGCCGCCGGCGCCGGCGCCGGAGGGCGAGCGGCCGCTGTCGCCTGCGGAGAGCGCGCTCACCGAGGTGCTCGCACTGCTGGCGGTATCGCGGCGCGAGGTGGGCGTGGCGCTCGACCTGCTCCTCTCGCTCCCCGCGGGGCAGGCCGATGTCTTTGTCTTTCTCAGCCAGCAGGGCGCACACGCCCTCGCTCTCCACCGGCTGCTCGACCTCGCCCGCCTCTCGTGGCCCCGCACGCTCGCGCTGCTCCTCGCGCGGAGCGACTCGTCCTTCCCGCCCGCCGCCGTCGTCCCTCAGCTCGAGGCGGCGCCGTGCGAGCCGCCGGCCCTCTGGCTGCACGAGTACCTCCACGGGCTGCTCGAGTGCAACCCGGCTGCCGCGGCGCCCTTCGCGCCGCGCCAAGTCGAGCTGTACGCAGCACTGGCGCCGCAGCAGCTGCTGCCCTTTCTGCGCTCGTCGAGCGGGTACGAGCCAGAGGCTGCGCTCGACGTGGCCAAGGAGCACGGGCTCGTCGACGCGCAGATCTACTTGCTCGCGCAGCAGGGCGCCGCCAGGGCGGCGCTCTCCCTCGCGCTGGGCGACGGGCGCGACCTCGGCGCCGCGCTCAAGCTGGTAACAGAGAGCGGCGAGGAGGAGCTGTGGCCTCTGCTGCTCGACGAGGCGGTGGCGTCGCCCGCGCTGACGCAGGAGCTGCTCCTGCGCGTCTGCCGCCCGCCGCTGCTCGCCATCGACCCGCTCGCGCTGCTCCGCCGGCTGCCCGAGGGCGAGCGGATCGACGGCCTCCGCAAGCACCTCACCCGCTTGCTGCGGCAAGTCGCCGAGCACGAGGGCCTCTCGAGGGGCGCCGCCGCTATCGCGCACGCCGACACGGCGGCGCTCCTGGGCGAGCGGCATGCGGCGCAGTGCCGCGGAACAACCCTGCATTTGCCGCTTCCACAGGACCCGTCGGCGAGCGGCGAGGCGGGCCCAGACTAGCTGGCGAGCGTGTGCGTGTCTGAGCAACTGATGTCAACTCGGCTAGCCACTGCCACTGAGCGAAACTGCAACCGTGATGTCTCGTGAGCCGTCCCGTGAGGAGGCGAGAATTTGTTCTCCATTGCACAAAGATCACAGGACCTGCTCCTTTTTACCCACCTGGGCATCTCCGGTGTCGGATATCGGATCTCATATCCTGCATGTGGAGAAATAAATAAAAACGGACGTCTCTACTGTGAGATGGGTAAAAAGAAACAGGTCCCCACCCGTGCGATCTTTGTGCAGGGTTTTTTGTGCGTGTGGTCGGCGACTAGCCGGGGTCGTCCTCCCGACGGGGGACTAGCACTAGCCGTCTTCCACATGCACATGGTCCCTCGGGTCCCTGCTACTCTTAATCTCTTCGTAAACCCTCCTGCTGATCTCCGCAAAGTCCTGCTCCCTCCCTCGTCTCGCCCTGCGCGTCTGCTCCGCCTCCCCGTCGTCTGCCCTGCGTCGTCTGGCGACGGGTCCTCCATAGTCGGTCGAGGTCGCCGCCCTCCTCGTGCCTCTTCCCAACGTTCCCTCGGCGGCCGATGCCGTCTGCTCCGGCTCCCCCGTCCCCGGGTCTGCCCTGCTCTCGCCTGCGCTAGTTTCTGTTTCGTCATCACCGGTGTCTCTCCTCTTCTTTCTCCTCTTCTTGTATGCTTTGTACATCGCGTCGATTCCTTTTCGCGTGAGCACCACCCTGAAGCCCGCCCAGCAGCTAAACCGCTCCCTAAGTCGAAGGAGCATCATCAGTCTCACCCACTTCGCTTGCTGCCCACTGTCTCCGCTCCCTCCCGCTTGAGCTGCCGTCGCGGCCCTCATTCCTCCCACTGGCTGCTGGCCCGTCCGCACGTTACCCCCGTTATCCCTCCTCCTCCGCGACTCCCTCAAGGCCGGCCGGGCCTCCTTCCACCTAGCGAAGAGCTTCCTCAGCCACTCGATGTGTTCCTCTCTCTTCATTATGCGCGTGTGGAGAGGTGTGTGTCCGTCTTTATTTATTTAGGATCGTGCCCCGAGTCAGAGCGGAGTTATAGAGAGAGGGGGCATCAGACGTACATGAAACATGATCATGGTATTGAGCAGCGCAGAAGCACACGGAAAGCAGCGGCGCGCTCTGCCTCTGGCTCTCCACGAGCTCCGAGGTGTTTAGTCTCTCGGTTGTTCTCTATTCTTAGACGCTACAAACGAAAAAACGTGTTGTGTGTGTTCAGAGAGAAAGTATGTGGGACGCATGTACGGTGACCCCGCTTCTCTATCACCCAACGGAACTATCGCCTGGCAGGGACACCTCTTGAAACGGATCGGCACGAGCACAGAGCGTGTGTGCACGCGCCCCTGATACAGCGCATGCGGCCGCACGACTTGATCTGGCGGTCAGTAGCAGCAATCAATGCATGCGGGTCCGGGTAATCCCCTAGACTCACAAAGTTTGGGTGCCAGTAAAAATCTAGATCGTCGATCAGGCACAGCAGTCCTTTGTCAATGAGGTGAGGCACTACCGCGAACTCAGCCCCCTCAATGTTCATCTTCACCACCACGTGATCTTGCGGACATACAGTCCGAGCAACAAAGGAAGCGAAGTCAACAGTCGGGACATCGACTGTCTTGGAGCTGCCACCCATCTGACCCCAGTCACGCACGACGGACGAACCCCACTGCGCGCGCCGCATGCCAGTCTTTGTGTCGTCAATACTGAGGCGGATGGACGAATTCGCATCGGACCAAGCGGCAGCGATCGAGATGTGAAGCAGAGGGTGTGCCGCCTCGAGCGCTTCGAGCGCCACACGATGGGTTGGCGAGGCCTCGAAAGCGAACACCTCCCATTCGCTGGCATTGTACCCCGACACCGGGAACGTCCAGTGAGGATTGACGCTGAACTTGGGAATTTTACCAGAGTAGAATGCTCGGAGCACATCCCCGCGATTGCTGCCAACTTCAAAGAACAGGTGGCGCCGCGGCCGGCGTGCGCACAACCTCTCCAGCCGTGGCAGTGCGCGTTCGCGAGCGGCCATGAACAGCACAACGAGCCATGGTGTCATGACGAGAAAAGCTCTGAGAGCGATGCCTCAGGGGCCGTTGAGACCAGACATATCGAGTTTTCAACTCGATCGAACTAGCCGCGTTTCAATGCGCCTCAAATTTCTTTTGTCACATCTTGTTCGCGCCACTCGGGGCGCCGGCAGCCGCCGCGCGCCTTTCTTTTTTCAGCGCTGCGCCACGCCGCTGCCCGCCCGCAGCAAACAAGACACAGACAGCTTCGAACCACCAAGTAAACTCTCATGCGAGTCTCCGGTCAACGACAACGTCAAGCAGCTCGACCGCCGGGACGGATGCAGGCGGTCATGGGTCTTGCCTGCCGGTCCGACGGCGGCAGCACCTGGTTGGCGAGCACGCCGTTGTCAAAGATCTGCAGCTCCTCAACAAGCTCCTCGGAACTGTACACGTGGTGTCGCTCCGCATCGATCAGAGCCTCGTTGTCCGTGAAGAGAACTGTCTGCACTTTGTAGTCGCTGCCAGTTGCGGGGGGGGGCAGCGCTGCGTCGGCGCGTCGCTGCGGCGCCGCACGGAGCACACCCTGAAAGATGAGCGCGCCATCAAGTAGCAGCTGGAACGAACGCACCCCGCGCGCCGGCGTCTTTGCGTAGTTCCAAATGCGAACGGCTCCAATGGTCACCGTGTTTGGCATCGTGAGAGTAACCGAAGCGCTCGCGCCAAGACTGTACGGCGCGAGCCACCCCCACGCGCAGTCTCCGCCCAGCAGCAGCTTGTCCACGGTCCGTGTGTCCCCGTGCATCCCTGGAAGAGCGATGACACCGATAGGATCGGCGGTGATCGCAGCTCGTTGGAGATCGATGGTTGTTCCCTCTGGCGATAGGAGCTCGAGCCCGTTTAGGCCCAAATAATGCGGGTCGCCCCAGGTGGACTCGCAGAGCAAAACCAGCTGCTTTCCGTGTGGATGGAGCCGCACCTCGTAATCTTGCATCGGGGGCAGAGACGGCATGAACCCGGCTGCCCGCGGCGCAGGCTCGCGCTGGCCAGCCGAGGTCGCAGGCCGTGCAGCGACGGCCGTGACTTCGCTCGGAATGACGCGGGGCCGGCACTCTAGAGCGCCGGCCTCTGCGCCGGGCGTGTGCGGCCGCTCCGTACGGAAGGCGTCAGAGTCGTGCTCAGGCGAGTGGCAGCATAGGTCGTGCGCCTCGATGGCGGTGAGCGTTTGCGGCTCGAGCGTGAACAAGATGCTTTCGGCGCACGCAAAGGCGTCCACCACGTTCCCGCAAGCCTTGTTGATCTCGCCGCGAAAGATGAGCGCGCCGTCGAGCCGCAGCTCAATTCGACGCGCACCTCGGTATGAGTGGATTCTCGATTTATTGTAGTTCCAGACTCTCACGAGCGAGAGCCGGCAGGGCGCGGGAAGCTCAATCCCCAAGAGGTTGCGCTCGCCAGCGGTGTATGGAGCCAGCCACAGGTGGTTGTCGTTGCAGGTGGCACAGACTCCATCGGTCAAGTTGGACACAACTCGCGGGTCGTCCGAACATTCTGGGAGGACGTTGATGTCGGCGGGCGAGGCCCAAATCCGACCTGCGGATAGGTCAACCGGCAGCCCTGCGCTGTCGAATGCCTCGATGGCGGCCAGCCCGACGTAATAAGGATCGCCCCAAGTGCTGAGGATGTCCATCTGCAGCTTTCGTCCCGCCGGCAGCGCGACGAAGACCCCTTCCTCCTCCTCCCAGCCACTCGCTGCTGGCGCCGTGGGCGTGATGAAGTCGAGGGAACGTGGGCCGCCTGCGCCCGCACATTGGGTGTACCCGCTAGCCGAGGAGTAGGAGGAGCCCGCAGGTGAGGCGGGGCACGAGCGACGGCTTGCGGTTGACTCCCCGCTCGGCGGCCGGGAGCCACTCGACGGCGGGCGTGACGCAGAGAGACTCGATCCATGGCTCGACGAACAGCCGCAGGCCCCGCCGCGCCAGAGTCCAGAGCTGCTGGCATCGCACCCACCTCTTGCAATGCTGCTTTGGCCACCGAGCTGCAGGTTCGATGCTGCACCGAGGTTGAAGTGCTCGCTTTCGTACATGCTGCCGCCGCTGCCAACATGGCGCGATGCGCAGTCTCTCCGCTCGCTAGCCATGCGAGTCTGCACAAAATTTTGCAGAAGTGCGTCCTCGGGAGCGACGCGCGTCGGTGCAGGGCTCTGCGTGGGTGAAGTACGACGCCAGTCGGTTGCGCCGGAGCGCGCCGACGATGGCGCGCGCCGGCCGGCGGCGGGCGCCGACTCGAAGTGCATTCGTCGCAGGCAGCGTTGCCGACGGTTTCATTTCATTTCATTTCATGAAAATAAAGAAAAAAGCGTGGTTGTTTCATAAGATCGAAGGCTAAGCTCAAAAAAAGGAACAGGTCCCCACCCGTGCGATCTTTGTGCAGGGTTCTTTGTAGTATTTCATGAGGGAGCGCGTGAGCTCGGTTTTCTTTTTGCGATCACTCATGACTTCTTGTGCGGCACGCATCGCGTCGTGGCGTCGATTCCTTCTCGCGTGAGCACTTCCCACAACAACATACCTGAATACACCTAAACCTGAATGCTGAAAGCCTGCGCCCAGCGAGGCTGAATCGTGATTCGTGTGCCGTGCGGAGGAATGGAAATAATGGGAAATTTTGCGGAAATGGGGAACCCCCGCGCGGCTCCCCCCTCCACTTCTACGGACTCCGAGAGGAGCAAAAAAGTAATATATCTTTACTTCCAAAACCCGGACGTGCCTCCACCGGCACGCCGCTTCCGACAGGGTGATGGAAGGTTCGACGCACCCCCGGACTGGGCGGAGAGGTCCCAGGAAACAAAGGCCTGGGCTGTCCGCCCCGCCCCCACTTGCCCTGACTGCACAGGATAGCGTGCCCCGACAAACGGCGGCACATAGCGGGGGACACTGCGCCGGGGGTATGCCTAACTTTGGTGCTTTGTGTGGGTCGCGTTCCCATGGTAGTTGTGTGGCTGAAGCCCTCGTGCCGCTGGCGTACGTCCACCCCCCCTTCTCAGGAGGTGGTTCCCCCAGCGGCTGGCCCCTCGAGACTGTCGGTGCTTGGCGGGAGGAGGGGGAGAGGGAGGCCCGGTGGGAGGAGAGGGAGAGGGAGGCCCGGTGGGAGGGGAGGGAGAGGGAGGCCGCCTTGGGCTCTTCTCCTCCCCCCTCCCTAGGCTCTTCTCCTCTCCCCACCCTGGGATCTTCTCCCCTCCTCCCTGGTACTCTCGGCCTGATTACCGGAGCGACTGCTGGAGCAGACGCTGGGGGGACACTCACGCCCGGAGGCGGTACGCACGACCCGGAGGCGTGGGGATGGGGGGGCGCCGCGCCGCCGCCGCCGTGCCGCCTTCTCCCGCTTTGATCTCCCTCAGCTGCTTCTCCTCAACTCAACCTGTGAGCTTGCGAGGGCGGCGGGGGTGGGAGTGCTCTCGGGCGGCGTGTGCGAGCGCGCGCGGCGCGAGATCTTCTTCGCGAGGGCACGGTGGGTCGGGTGAGTATCTCGCGCGCTCGCACTATTTCACGTTATATGAGGCACTGCCCTTGAGTGCCTTTGCAGAACCGCCAGCGGCGGTGGTCGAGCCGGTTCGCGGTTCGAGTCGGGACCTTTTGGCTCCCGGCTCGAAAGACTCGGGTGGAGGGTTGCTTCGCTCTCGCGGAGCGAGCGCGGGCGCGCGCGCGCGGGTGCGTGTGCGCGTGCGCTGCTGCAAGGCGAGGCGCGGCGCGGCGCGGCGCGGCGCGGCGCGGCGAGGCGGGCGGCGGCGGCGCGCGGTCGTTCCTTTTGCCCGGGTGAGGCGTGGCGAGCGCGTCGCGTGGTGATGACGCCGCACGCGGAGAAGCTCTTGGTGACCCACCGCGGTGGCAGCGAGCCGAAGCAAGCCACCTGCCGCATGACGGGTTGACCTCGAAAAAGAATTTTTTGTACGGACTCCGAGAGGAGCATCGCTGGGCTGTTAGCCTGTTTGTATTTGAACGCCTGTTTTTGTCCTTAGGGGACCCCTAGGCTTAAAAGGGTGGGCCCTGGGGCGCCTGCGGCTTAAACGGCTTAAAACTTGCCTAGGCAAGTTTTAAGAGCTGCTGGGCCGCCGATTCCTTAAACGGTCTTAAACGGTCAAACGACTCGGCAGCCTCCCCGCGCCCTTAAACGCGATCACACCATGAATGGTCTATACTCAAAACTTGCCGACGGGCGGCGAAAGCTCTTCGCTCGGCCCCGAGAGCGCTTCGCTCTCTGCCGCCCGCCCGCCCGCTCGCTCGCCCGCCCGCCCGCCAGCCTCCCCGCGCTTAAACGCTCTAAATGGGCTCAAATGGCTCAGGTTGGGCGCGGTGTGCGATTCTCTTAAATGGTCTCTTAAATGGGAGCGGCAGCATGGGCCCAATCTCTTAAACGCACCGAGGCGGCTCTGGAGCCGCCAATCTCTTAAAAGGTCTTAAAAAAATCCGGCCCTCAGAACCCTAGGGGTCCCCTAAGTTTTTGTCAGCTGTGTCGTACAGCCCTAACCTCTCCCTCTCGGCGCTCTCATAATACATTCACATCACGCGTACTTTTCTTGGAGAGCACGAGCAGAGAGAGAAAAATGGTACATGCTGGTGCACAAGGGAAGCCTTTTCGCGTCTTCCCCACCACGCTTGTCACGACAAGGCCGACAAGTTCTCCTGGAAGCGCTGCACAAAGCTGGAGAGGTAGTCGGTCGTGACGTGGAAGTCGTGCAGCCGCTCGTACTCGTAGTAGACGAAGAGCGACACCAGGTTGATCGAACCCTGGAAGGGGGGCGCAGTGGGCGGTCGGTGGCTGGAGGCGGGGAGCAGCGGTGGGTGGCTGGAGGCGGGTCACCGGGTAGATGGCATACGATCTTGCCACGCTGGCACGGCCGCGTGCGAGGTCCTCCTCGAACGCGTCGGCGTCGAAACCGCCTTGTGCCGTCTCGTAGCTCGCGCGCCGCTCGTCGCAGCCCAGCTTGTCGGTGATGCCGGACTGGGAGCGCGACAGCGCATCGAAGACCACGTCGCACGCCAAGGGAGAGACCTGCGCAAGGTGGCGGCGCGAGCTGGGAGGACGGGGATGATGCGTGAAAGAGGTGGGATGGACGAGCGTCGGCGGCGTGTCGGGATGGACGCGCGCCTCCCTCGCGTCGAGTTCGGCCGCGGTGCAGCCGACCGAGGCAGCGAGGGCGTCCGAGCGGAAGGACAGTCTGCCGACATTCTGCTCGTGCCAGTGCCGCTGCGCTTGCGACCTACCACGGCGAGTATCACCGCTGCGAGCATGAGAGAGGAGGGCGCGGTGGGGGAGAGCGGTCGGCTTGCGCGTGCTTCCGCTTGCAGAACCCACGCCGCTGCGGCGTCCTGGCCGCCCACGGCTGGGCGCCGGCCTTCTCGACGTCGGGCGCGGAGAACTGCGGGTCATTTTTTGGCCAGCGGGGCAACTTGGAGGTGCGAGTCTCGCTGCTGAGCCGCGACGCCTTGCGAGGGAAGGCCTCCTCCCAGCGCGCCCACGCGTCGCGCAGCGCAGGGCCGTCCACGATGTTGCCCTCCGCGTCGAAGAAGGCGTCCATTGCGGGGAGTTCCCCTATGCTGTCCCACTCCTGCGAGGCGGAGCAGGTACGGACACCGTCAAATGTGAGCCCGCTCGGTTGCGGCCCGGCTCTTCTGGAAGCCTCCATCCGTTGCCATCGACCGAGAACGTTGACGACATCAATGGCAGACACTTTGGGTCCGGATGCGAGGAGGTCGGAAGCCCTGCAAAAGGTGCGGGTGGCGGCAGTCGATGCACCCGCCGATGATGCTGTGGTGGGTGCTGCCGTCATCGCCACCAAGGGACGCTGAGGCATCGGACGGCGGGTGCCCAGCACCACGGCGGGTGTGAAGCCTGCAACGAGCGTAAGCATCTTATGGGCTCTTCGCAGCCGCCTTCCCCAGGGGCGCAACCAGTGCAACCGAGCAGGGTTCCGGCTCCTACCCGGATAGGGGGTCTGGCGGAGAGAGAGAGAGAGAGAGAGAGAGAGAGAGAACCAAGGGCTTATGCTCTGTCGAGACGTGAGGCGTATGCGCCCAGGAGGGGAGGGTGCATGCGTAACGACGCTGCTAGAGATGCCTTTCGGGGCCCAGAGATAAAACTTCTGATGCCATGCGTGACCTAGTAGTGTCCCCAGCTATGGGCGTGTCCACGTTGGAGCCAGGTGTGGTGTGGACGCGAGAATAGCTCCGCCGTTCATGGAGGCAACCGATGCGAGTCGACTGGTGTGTGTCGTCGTGGTTTCGTATCAAGAATTCTCTCTCTCTCGGTCTGGCGGACTCGCGCCAAAACGCCCTACCTACCTACCTATCCCCAGGCCGCGCAGCGAAGCGAAAAAAGATGAAAATAGGGGGTACCTACCTATTGCAGGGCCCTTTTGGGCCAAACAAGACCAACCTACCTACCTATCTGGGAGGGGCCAGCCAGTCCCAACAGACCCCCTATCTGGGTAGGAGCCGGAACCCAGTCACCTGAGCACCAGCACTGTAGCCGAGCGCTCAATAAAAAAAAGTAAGCAGTTCGCCGCTAGGGCCCACAGCGCGAGGGAAAAATTCATGCACATGCACATGTACATGTTGTTGCATACCCGGGTTTTTTCAGGTATACCCGCAACACACCCGGGGTATTTTGCCGGTTCGGCTGATTTTGGGCCCACACCAGCCTCAGACTCAGTTCTCAGCTCCCCCCCCCCCCAAAACATTGACGATTTCCACGGAGTTTCCACGATAACTAGAGAGAGAGAGGAAACGAGAGGGAGTTTGGTTGTTTTTGAGAGAAACACGGGAAAAAAGAAACGAGGGAGGGTTGAGAAAAAATAAAATATTCTTACCTTCAAGCCCCCCTCCGAGACTAGGGACAGTCACACCCCAGTATCAGACCAGGGGGAGTGCCCCCCGCCCCCACTTGCCCTGACTGCACAGGATTGCGTGCCCCGAAAACGGCGACAATAGCGGGGGACACTGCGCAAGGAGAGGGTGCGAAGCCAAGATTGGGGTTCTAGGTGGTGGGACCAATGTGCAATGAGGGGGGGAGGGCGGGGTCCTGTGGGGGTGAAATGTTGCGCGGCGAATTCGAACCTACCAGGGAGGGTGTGCGTAAAGCCTAAAGCTTTGTTGTACAACAAAAACTAAAAAAGATTTAAACAAAGAACTCTCTGACAGAAAAGAAATGACGCGATCGCACCTCGCCAGTGGGAGCGTGTCAGATAAGGTGCGTATCCTGAAGATTCTTTTTTGACCGCGCAAGATATGAAGGGTGGCTAAGGGCTCTGCTCGCAAGGCGCCCGCGTCGCAGACGCGGTACCATTGACAAATCTGTCATATACCCCCACACGACCAAATAGCAAAATCCGAATACCGTGCACGAAACTGCGTGATCTGGGCCGTGGACGGGGGCAAGCCTTCAGCTGGTGCCAAGACATCCGTAAAATTGAAGCCAAGAACGTCCGCCAAATCCGTGCTTTCGGAGCAACTGAGGGAAGCCGCTGATCGAGCCCAGCGTGCCCGCGGCCGCCTCCCGCGCAGCACCGCCGCTGGGGACGACACGCTGCGGAATCGGATCGAGCCCATGCACCGGGCAAAGAAGGACGCTGCAGAAGCAGTTGGAGAGGCAGCCGGCGTCTGCCGTCACAACGAGTCCCAGCGCTGGTTGGACATGCGCGTCGGCTCGCCCGAGGACTGCTATCGCGACCCTCCCGTCGTGCCGCAGCCTCCGACGAGCTCTGCAACCGAGGAGAGTGAGGGTGCGCCTCCCCTCACTGCTGGCCTGGCTGCGCACCGCCCCACAAAGCACCCCCTCGAGCATCTCTACAAGTACAAGTACAAGGGCGACCTTCTCCAAGTCGTCAACACCCCCGGCGGCTCCGACAAGACTTTAGCCTTGGCCACCCTCCTTGCGGAGCAGGAGGAGATCCGCTCTCGGTCGGCAACGTGGCAGCTAGTCGAGGGACTCGGTAGTTGTGACCCCCCTGAGTGAGTGAGGACAGGAGAGAGAGAGCTTTTGTGGTGTTGGTGTACGCAATAACGGGACAGGGTAGTCGTTCTCTCTAGCTCCCCTTCTAGCTCTTGGCATGAGCTGCGCCCTGTGTCCGACCCCTTTTGCGCAGCAACACCTTAAATCCTTAAACTTTTAGGCCCTCCAAATTCGGGTCGCAGCGTAGCGGAGTGGGCCCCGAGTTTGAAAAGGGCGACGGACGCTTGCGTCCTAGCCTCCAACAACGCCTCCCCGGCGCAGAGGGGCCCCCGGAGGGATGCTCAACCGCTCCACGCCACGCCGCTTGCGGCGGTCCTATTCCCAGCTCCGCTGAGGGCCGGTGCGTTATTTTTTCTGGCCGATGCGTTATTTTTTTCAAGGGCCGATGCTGTGAGCTGTGTGTTGACTGTTGTGCGCTTGTGCGTCCAGCAGTCCGGACCCGGTGCTACGGCCGGTGACCGCGTGCCTCTCGTGTCGGCTCCCGAGCCAATCGTGTGGAGCGTGTGTGTGCGTGTGGGCCCGTCCTCCATGCTAGGAGGTGTGTAAGACTGACTGACTGACTCTCACTGCAGACGGGAAAAGAATTCTTCGAGTGAAAAAGAAATGACTTGGCGTCTCGCCCGCCAGAGCGGATGCGCGAATCGCTCGTGCTGCTCATCGCCTCCGCCGCCGCGCTCCGTACGCCACTGCCGCCGCTGGGATATGTGCCGGCTGCGCTCTCTGCATCTGCGCCGCCTCGAACACAGAGCCTTCTGCTGAGGAGCGCGGCTCGCGCCACCGCGCTGACGGCGGCGGCGGCAGCCGAGATCAAGCCGCAGCTTCCGCCGCCCGAGGACGTGCCCTCCGCCCGAGTAACGGTGCTGCTGCTCTGCTGCGCCATCGGCGCGGTGTGCGCTCTCGACCGCGTATTGATCTCGATCGCCATCCTCCCGATGGCGGAGCAGTTCGCCTACTCTGACTCGACCAAAGGTGCCATTGCAGCAGGCTTCTCGCTCGGGTACTGTCTCGGGCTTCTGCCCGCGGGCGTGCTGGCATCGAGCGGCTCGCCGAGGCAGGTCCTCCTCGGCGGGCTGGTCGTCTGGTCTGCGGCGACCTGCGCCACGCCGCTGGCCGCCGCCTCGAGCGTGCCTGCCCTGCTCGCCACCCGCGCCGTGATGGGCGTGGGCGAGGCGGCGGCTGTGCCGACGCTTCAGGCGGTGGCGGCGCGTTTCGTCCAGCCCGAGCGGCGCTCCCTCTTCTGGGGCTGCCTCACCGCCTCCCTCTCCTGCGGCACCATCGCCGCCTACGTCCTGGCTCCGCCGCTCATCGCAGAGCAGGGCTGGCCGTTCGTCTTTGAGGCCTTCGGTGCCGCCGGCCTCAGCATCGCGGTGCTGTGGGCAGTGCTCGGCGCCGACGCACCGCGAGAGCTCGAGTCCGCCGGAGCCAGCAGCAGCGGCGGCGGCAGCAGCAGCAGCAGGATTGGCGACGCCGGCGCCGGCGGCGGCGACTCGGCCGGCGGCGGCGACGGCGGGATGGGCGAGGTGCCGTGGCGGGCCCTCGCCTCCTCGCGGCCGGTCTGGGCGATGACGGCCGCGCACTGCAGCTCCAACTTCTTCATGTACTTTGGCTTATCGTGGCTCCCAACCTACTTTTCGTACCAGTTCGGCCTCTCGACAGCCGACGCGTCGACGGCGGCGCTCTACCCGTTTGCGGCGGGCGCGGTCGGCTCGCTCGCTGCGGGCGCCGCGTGCGACGCCCTCGTCTCGAGCCTCCACTTTCGGCGCACCGACGCGCGCAAGGTGATGCAGTCCGTCGCGCTGGGCGGGCCGGCGCTCGCGATGCTCGCGCTCTGCCTGCTCTCGGCCGGCGCCGGCGGGCTGCAGCTGGAGCGCGACGAGGCGGAGGCGCTCTTCGTCGTGGCGGTCGGCTGCCAGGCAGGCTCGGCGGCGGGGTACGGCTGCGGCGCGCAGGACATCTCGACCCGCCTCTCATCCCTCATCTACGGCGGCACCTCCGTCTTCGCCGTCATCGCGGGCGCCTCGGGCCAGTACTTCACCGGCTGGCTACTGGAGCAAAACGGCCGGGACTTCACGCCCATGTTTGCCCTCGTTGTCGCCGTGGAGCTAGCGGGCCTTGTGGCTTGGAACAGATGGTGGGACAGCGAGCGCGTGTTCGAATGACGATGAGCCGAGGCCGGGCCGCGCGCGCGTATGAGGGGCGGCGTGAGCCGGCACGTGTGCACTGCGCAGTCTCGTATTTACTCTATTTTGTGAACAAACGCGGAACCGGAAGGGCGACCGCCAGCGCCAGGACCGCCCCCGCGAGCCGCAACAGCCACGGCATCGACGATCGAGCAATATTATCGAGTGTGTGAGACGAGCCGAGGCGAGCGGTGAGAGCTGCACTGTGCCAGCGGCCCTCCCCCCTCCGGGCCCCACTTAAAGCACAATCGGCATTCTGCCCTGGGGTGACTAGCACTGGCGCGCGCCTTTACCGGTGCGATTTTCGTCGCCGCCACGACACTCTGGTGCTCAAAGTAGAGGTGATGCGAGCGCCACGTCAGCCCGGGGCGTCCGCCTCGAGCCAGAGAGGCAAGGTGGCGGGCGGCGGCGTGGCCACTGCGGCCGCCCGAGCCAAGCTGCGCCGCGGCGCCGGCCGGACCGTCATCGGCAGCACCTACAGCGGACCGTCCCGTCCTGCCTCCGTGGCGGGGATGGCGCGTCGCGAGCCGGCGGCGGCGCTCCCAGTCGAGGGTCTGCGCGGCCTCAGTCTCGGGGCGAGGCCTCAGCGTGAAGATGAAGCGCAGCTTCCAGCGCAGCGTCAGCGCGGGCGCCTCGCAGCTCGGCGGGAGGTGGCTCGGCAGCAGGAGCTCGAAGCTCGCCTGACAGGAGAGGGCGAGACTCGGCCCACGCCTCGTCCCCCCCGCACGGAGAGGCCGCTCGCAACGAGGCTCGCCTCGCGCACAGCTGCGGCCGCAACCTCGACAGACTCTACCTGCGGAGCGAAGGGCCCGGGGCGGGCGGGGCGGGGTGTGAAGCCGCTGCTGCGGCGGTGTGGGAGCGGTGAGTGGTGAGGGAGCGGTGCGAGGGCGGTGTGGTGTGGGAGCAGCGGGTGGAAGCAGGGCGGTTTGGGAAGCTGAGCGGTGTGGGGAGGAGGGGTGTGTGGGGGAGCAGTGTGTGTGCGCGCCGCCCACCGTGCGACTCGAGCGCGCGCCGGTGCCGCCCGCCTCTGTGCGTGTGAGGGCGAGGTCCCACCCCAGCTCGTCGCACAGCTGCTCGTCGCACTCCACCTCCTCCTCGAGGTCGAGCGAGATGGTCAGCAGAGAGCACTGCAGCGCCGCCGCCGCCCCCTCCTCCGCCGACCCTCCGGCCTCGAAGCGGACGCAGCCGCGCACCACCTCTCCGGGGGCGCGCGAGCAGGCGCGGCCGACAAACGCGACCGTCGCGAGAGGCGCCCTACTCCCGCACCGCCGCCCTCGAGGCCGAGGAGTGGGAGAACGCGGCTGTGCGGCGGGGGGGAGGGCGCAGCGCACCCCTCGAGCCGGACCTGGAAGAGGCCCTCGTTGGCCGCCTGCGTGGCCGCATGCCCGTCCGCCGCGCCGCTCCCCTCGCTCCCTCTCCAAGACCCCTCCTCGCCCTCCTCCTCGCCCTCCTCCTCGCCCTCCTCCTCGCCCTCCGCCTCGAACACGAGCGGCTCCTCCTCCCTCCCGACCTCCTCCCACTCCTCCTCCTCCTCCTCCTCCTCCTCGCCCGCCGCCGGCCAAGTGCACCCCTCCACACACGCCGCACCACCCCGGCTGGCCACCGGCGTCAGCGCGGCGTCCTCCGAGCTGACGCTGCAGCAAAACTGCGACTCTGGCACGCCGCCTCCGCCTCCGCCTCCGCCTCCGCCACCGCCGCCGCCACCGCCGCCGCCACCGCCGCCGCCGCCTCCGGCTGCTCCGCCCTCCCCGCCCTCCCAAGACGGCTCCTGCAGGCGCGGCTGCGCGCACAGCGGCGCGCCGGCGCGCGGCGCGCCGCACAGCAGCACTCGCAGCGGCACGCGCAGCCTGCAAATGCGTGGGGAGCGGGGTGAGGCGCTGCAAGTGCGCCGGTGTCGGCGCGGCGCGGACGGCGAGCCTGCAGATCGGGCCGCGCCGCCAGCCGGAGGACGGCTCCGACGGCGGGCGCATCATCCGCACGGTGAGCACGGCCACATACTCGATGCGGGCCAGGTCGCCGTGGTGGCTCGGCGGCAGGCCGTCGGGCAGCGTCCCGACCACGTCGAAGGCGAGCCGCGCGCCGGGCTCCACGGCGTGGCCGGCGAGCACGACGTGCGGCGGCGACGAGAAGAAGCACCGCCGCCCGGGCGCGTCCTGCTGCCGCTCGTCCGGCAAGGCGGTGGCCTCGGCCTGCGGCGGCGTGGAGGGCGGCGGCGGCGGCGACGCGAGCGAGAAGTGGCCGCAGAGCTGGGCGCTCATCCAGTCCACCCACCGCTCGGCGGAGGAGGCGCTGCAAATGAGGGTGAGGCGGCACCGGACCGTGCCGCCCGCGGCGTAGGCCCACGCGTCGGGCGCGGCGGCGAGCACGTCAAAGAGGGCCATCGGCCGACGCCGCGGAGCCCGAGTGCGAGTGCCTCGGCTGGCAGCGGAGCGGCGGCAGGCGCAGCGCGCGGGGAAGAGCGAACTTTCTCTTAGGCTCGGAGTGTGCGGGGAGCGCGGCGGAGTAAACCATACGTCGTCGGCCCCCGGACGCAAAAAGGAAAAAAATAATTAAAGTCATAAGAAGTAGGGTGGTGTTTAGAAACACCGGGAGTGAGTGGGGGGTGCCGATTTAGGCGTTGGACGTGTACTTGGTGACGGCCTTGGTGCCCTCCGAGACGGCGTGCTTGGCGAGCTCGCCGGGGAGGATGAGGCGGACGGCGGTCTGGATCTCGCGCGACGAGAGGGTGCCCTTCTTGTTGTAGCGCACGAGCTTGCCCGCCTCGACGGCGATGCGCTCGAACGCGTCGTTGATGAACGAGTTCATGATGGACATGGCCTTGGAGGAGATGCCGGTGTCCGGGTGCACCTGCTTGAGCACCTTGTAGATGTAGGACGAGTACGACTCGACGCGCTTCTTCTTGCGCTTCTTCTCGCCGCCGCCGGACGGCTTCTTGGCGGACTTCTTGGCGGGCGTCTTCTTGGCGGGCGGCATGGCTGAGCTGGGTCGAGGGATGATGTTGGAATGATTTTGGGAGGGCTCCTTGCCTCGAAGGGTGGCTCACCCGCAACGGCCCGCGCGCCGCTGCAGCCGGGCTCACTTTTCGGCTCCCGGCGCCCACCTCGCGCCGGAGCGGGCGGGAGGCGGGCGAGAGGCGGCCCTCGTCCTCCTCGCCCGCCGCGCGGCCCCTCTCCGCCGCGGGCCGACGCGGAGAGAGCCGGCAGGGCCCGGCAGCGCAGAGACGGCTTTTCGAGAGACCTTCGCGGCGCTCGATCCGGGAGCGAGGCCCGACAGGGCGACGCAAATCTAGTCGCGCGCGTGTGCTGCCTGTGTCTGCGCTGCAGTCGCAGCGATATCACAGGCCCATTGAACAGGAGAGGATCGCGCGAAGGAGAGCGCTAACTGCCCTCTCTCTCCGCATTTTTGAAGCAAGTCTTGTCTTGTGAGTTTTGCACAACGCCAGCCTCAAAAACGTGAGACGACACACGCACACGGCACTGCGCATAGCCGCACACGCTCTCTCACCCACCAAACTGCCTCCGCCGCCGAGAGCGGCCGCGACTGCTGCGCTCCTGCTCCGAGAGGCGCGACTTGCGGCGCGCCCAAGCGTCGGCCGCCGCCACGCGCTGACTCAGCCGAGCCACCGCCGCGACCTTGGCTCGTTGCCGCCGCGCCGTCCGACCGAGCGGCTCCGCCCCCGCCTCCGCCTCCTCCTCCTCTGCCGCATCTCCCGCCTTCGCCTCTGCCCCCCCCACCTCCGCCGCCTCGGTGCCGCCGCGCGGGAAACGTAGCCATCCTTTTGGCATCTCGCGCGCGATCGCCCTGCGCAGCTCTGGCACCCCCGCGGTCGTGCGGCTCGACACCTGTCCAGGGCCAAAGCGAGGAGAGGGAGCGACCGTCTCGGCACAGGAGAAGAAGCGTGGGCAGAGGTGTGGGCAGAGCGCGAGACGGTGAGGGTGAGGGCGAGGTCGGGATTGGCGCCATGTGCACGCCCGCGCGCAAGCCGCGCAGGCCGAGCTCCGCCAAGTCCGCCTGCGGCGAAGGGGGCACCCGCTGGTGAGGGGCTGGCGAGGCGGCGGAGAAGGCGAGAGGCTGGCTGCAGCGGCCTCGAGGACCGCGAAGCGGCGCGCGAGCTCGCTGGTGGGCACGAGGTCGCACTTGGTCATCACCACGAGGCAGGGCACGCCCGCCTGCGCGCACGCAGGGGTCGGCGTCGGCGTGGCCGCCGCCCGCCACACGCTTCCCTCGGCCACGCCACCGCCTCCGCGCCAAGGGCTACAGGTCCGCGGCACCTCGCGGTCGAGCATCAGCAGAAACTCGCGGTCGAGCGCCCGCAGGCTCTGCCGCGCGTCTACACAGAGCAGCACGCGCAGCAGGCCGCCCCGCGAGACGACAAACTCGCGCATCGCAGCCTGCCACTGCGCAGTCGCGCCGTCCGAGGCGAATGCAAACCCGTAGCCAGGCATGTCGACAATCCGCGCGCCGCGCCGCTCCGAGCCATAAAAGTTGAGCGACCGCGTCACGCCCGGCCTGTTCTGCACCGGCGCGAGCCCACGCGTCGTCGTCCCGCCCGAGCGCTTCCCGACCAGCGCGTTGAGCAGTGAGCTCTTGCCGACATTCGAGCGACCGGCGAGGGCGAGCTCAGCCTCTGCGGCGCGCGGGAGCTCGTCGAGGTTGGCCGCCGCCCGGATCAGGCCCATCCGCCCGAGCTCGCGCCGCCGGCCCTCGCGCAGCTGCTCGTCGGAGAGGCGCACGGCGCCGCCCCGCTCCCGGCCGAGGCCGAGCGCGCGGATGCGGCGCACAACGGCGTCCGACAGCGGCGTGCGGCGAAGCCGCTCTCGGACACTGCAGAGCGACATCTTTGTGGGTCCCACAAGACTACTCTAGTAGGGGCCGGGCGCTTGAGCGTCGGCGGTACACCTGTGCAGATGTTGCACGGGTGAAATGGCTCCTCGTACTGTCCACTATGAAAGTGTGAACAGGTGGGAGCAGCAGCTTCTGACCACGGCGCCGCAGGCGCCTGTTGATAGGTCGCAATGCATACGCCTCACTGGGCCTTAGATCGCCCGACCGCGTCCCGGTGCTCTGCCGTCGGATTTGTGACTCCGCCGCACCGCGCCGCGGCCGGGGGCTCTCCGGAGGCCGAGGATGGCCGTGACGGACCGGGACGAGCTCTGGGAGGTTCAGTGTCAGTGTATTGTCCACAATATCTCTCAGTCTAGCTAAGCCAGGGGAGGCGATGCCGGGGCCGTACAGCAGCTTGGTGGTGCTTCGCCGGCGTGCGTCCCGGAGCGGTCCCGGACGGGCGGTCCGTGGGAGGAAAACGAGGGACAGCGCCGACGGCGCTCTGATTCGACTTTTGACTTCAAACAAAGCCTACCGCACGCGCCGCGACGCGCGCGGCGCGTGCGGTAGGCACTCGGGATTTTGTCAGATCGGCGTGTTCACGCCGGCATCGTGTCCCTCACAACCTGGGCAGACTTTAGGCTTGGACAGTACAGGGTAGAGGAGGCAGGTGGTGGGTTTGAGTGTCGTGCTTGCAGCCGCGAGTGCAGCACCATTTGTGACTCCCATGGATGCAGTGGGGTGGGGTACGGTGCTGGGGGGTGGTCCGGTGCGCCACAACAGCCTCCCTGGCTGACCCCCATCCAGTTCGGCACCTCCATCCTGACCGTGGAACCCCAACTTCAACCGGTCATATCTCGGGCGGACTGGCACCTCAGGAGCTCATCCTGGGCGGTTTGGGGGAGTCTTGGGGGTGTACTTGAAGGTGGTAAAAAGAGTTTTGCACCGCAGCTTAACCGGGGGGCGTGCTGAGTAGCGTGAAAGGAATAGCGGCACCACCTTGTCTTTATCTCGCTCCGTCTCCGGTCGCGCTTGCTCATGCAGCTTCTCTCCCTCTCGCACGACGAGGTCTTGGAGATCGTCCCCGCGAGGTCATCGCGCCGGATCTCGCAACGCGCAGCCTGCCGTCTGCCCTCTCTTCTCGCCTTATTTCACTGCAAAAAAAGAAATCTTCGGCGAATATCACGACGTCAACCCTCCCCAAGTGGGTGATCTGGTGCTTGTAGGGCTTGATAGTGGCCTGCCATGTCACAGGAAGGACTGTGGTCTGAGGGAGGGTGCAGAGGATGTAGAATGTAGAGCGCTGTAGAGCTGTAGAGCTGTAGAGCTGTAGAGCGCTGTAGAGCTCTACAGCGCTCCAGAGCGCTCTGCGCAGCCGCATCGACCCATGACCCTTGTAGATCCGCTCCTGCAACCATTCTCTAGGGTGGCACACTCACACTCGGGTCCGAGCGGCGGCGGCGGCGGCGGTGCCGGAGACGGTGGCAGGGTAGGCGGCGGTGGGGGATGCGGTGGGAGCGGTGGTGGACGCGGAGGGTGCGGTGGCGGCGGCGGGCGGGTCACGCATCGTCGCCAATATGCGCCATGGGCCCACTCTGACGGGTCTGCAATACTACATTCGCTGCCTCCCAGCACATAGCAGAATGGATTTGGGTACTGGTCGACGTGTTCCGCGCATGAGCATCGCGGGCTGACGTCGGTGCCGCCGCTGGTGCAGCCGTTCTCCTCAACTGAACATGCGCACTCGGGACCCAGCGGCGGAAAATTCGGCGGCGGCGGCGGCGGCGGGCTGGGCGGGTCGGGCGGTGGGCGAGGAGGTCGTGGGGGGGGTGGAGCCTTCGGTGGCGGCTTTGGTGGCTCCGGTGGTGGTGCTGGAGGCTGTGGCGGCTGTGGCGGCTGCGGTGGCACGGCCCCGTATGCAGTTTCGATGCCAGTCACCTGTTTAATCCACTCCTTGTGTCCTGCGACGCGAGCGTAGAGGGCCGGCGCAGTTTTGTCGCCGCAGAAGGTGAGAATCGAGGACACTACACCCACCTGAATGCGCTGCCCCGCCTTGTCGATAACAAAGAGCGGCGAGCCAGAGTCGCCGGAGCAGATTCCGTCCAGGTCGGTGTAGCGCTCCCATCCACGGAGGTCTGGGTCGTACACGCCAGCGCAAAGCTCGCCGTGGTCAACATGCAGGCCGTCGTGTCCGTCGAAGCCCATGTTTAGAAAGCGCGAACACTCGAGCTCGTTAAACAGCGTCGTCTCCAGCTGCTTGAGATACCGCGCCTGCCCTGCATCCTGGCCTGTGGCGCCCCACCCTATTACAGTAGCAGTGCGGATCGGGGGTATCGCATCTGGCGGCCAAAAAGTCCCGTCGTCGAGTCCAAGATGATCAAAGGAGCAAGTGGTCGCACGCTCGAGCCGGATCAAAGCAATGTCAGCAGACACAGAGGTATGAACCTCGTACTCAGGGCGCACGACAATCTCCACCGCCCTGATGTTCTCGGCGCAGTCATCCTCAAAGGTATGCAAGGCGACCACATCGTGTCGGTGAATGCCGACATGCAGGGCCGCCGGCTGCATGTTGAGGACGCAGTGCGCAGCCGTCAGCACCCATAGGCGAGAAATCGTCGATGCACCACAGAAGCCGACGTTGCCATTCAGATTGTTGCGGTACAGCCTCGCCATGTAAGGGTGAGTGAAGCGCTGCGCTTCATAGCCCCCGACAATGTACTCAGGTCGCACAGCGCCGGGTCCAAGGTGACCCGTCGGGGGCGTTGACGCCATAGCGGAGGTGTTGGCCATGGTGCGTCGCGCCCATGAGTCTGCACCGACCGTCCGCGTCCCCGCCGAATCGCTTCCAAAAGGAAGTGACCGTCGCTGCATTTTGGCCGCGATCATTTGGTGGAATCTAATTCCACGTAACTAACTGCAGGATAACTCGAGCGAGGGCGGCAATGAGTGCAAACCGCTCGTTTAAGAACATGGTTCATAGCGTGCAGTTCTGCATGTGTCTGTGAGTGAGACTTGGTCGGCAGATGATTGATGGCACTTGCGCGACTTGGGGCGCATGTGGGCCACACAGAGACAGCGATCGACGAGACCGACAGACGAGAGTTTCCGGCAACCCAGAGGGAAACCAGAGGGTCCCCAGCACTTTGAGTTTCCGGAAGTTTCCAGGGAAACCAGAGGGTGTTTGGTTGGTGCTCCCTCCATTCCTGCTCCATTCTGGCAACTCTCGAGTTTCCCTGAGTCTGGGAGCTGGTTTGGGGCAAAATCTGTGAGGCGAAACCGAGGAAAACTACGCGGATATTTTCCAGGTATACCCCCGGGAACTTTTCCAGGTATACCCGCAAAATACCCCGGTATTTTGCCGATTTGGCTGATTTGGGGCCCAAACCAGCCTCAGACACAGACTCGGCTCAGAGCCCGGGAAATTGATGATTTCTCGGGTCCGTTGGCCTTTTTTTGTAGGGAAGAATTTTGATACCCGTCAAGACGCCTGCTGGGGCCTGGGGGCAGCTTTCGAATTGGGCCAGGTACCAATTTTGTCGAATTTATTTCAAAATCTGCAGGCGCGGAACGCCTGCGAAAATTTTGAAGAAATTTGCGGTCGGGCCTGATTTTCATCAAGATCTTTCAAATTTGCGGTGTGGAGTTGGGCTGGAGTTGGGGGGTGGGGTTATAGGTTAGGGTTATTAGGGTTAGAGGGTTAGGGTTAGGGTTAGGGTTAGGGTTAGGGTTAGGGTTAGGGTTAGGGTCAGGGTTAGTCTTGTTGTGTCTGTATATGCCAGCGTTGCAGGGTTCTGCGCTGGGATCTGGCCCCACAGCGCCGACGACTAACTAAGACTCAGCCCCGCACGCTGAGACCTAGGGTTAGGGTTAGGGTTAGGGTAAGGGTTAGGGTTAGGGTTAGGGTTAGGGTTAGGGTTAGTCTTCTTGTGTTTTATGCCAGCGTTTTACACGCGGCCGGCGCCCTCTCGCGGCAAAAGGGTCGAGCGAGCGGGCAGAGTCGCGATGTCTGCGCACCCGCGTGCCGATGGGCGGCACACGCAGCGGAGAGAGGCCCTGTCGCGCCGCCAGTAGCGTTCCCCGCACTCCCCACGCCACCAAATGCCGCCTCAGGGCGCCAGCCACCTCTCTTACACGCGGCCGGCGCCCTCACTCTCGCGGCAAAAGGGTCGAGCGAGCGGGCAGAGTCGCGATGTCTGCGCACCAGCGTGCCGATGGGCGGCACACGCAGCGGAGAGAGGCCCTGTCGCGCCGCCAGTAGCGTTCCGCACTCCCCACGCCACCAAATGCCGCCTCAGGGCGCCAGCCACCTCTTACACGCGTCCGGCGCCCTCTCGCGGCAAAAGAGTCGAGCGAGCGGGCAGAGTCGCGAGATGTCTGCGCACCCGCGTGCCGATGGGCGGCGCACGCAATCGAGAGAGGCCCTGTCGCGCCGCCAGTAGCGTTCCGCACTCCCCACGCCACCAAATGCCGCCTCAGGGCGCCAGCCACCTCTTACACGCGGCCGGCGCCCTCTCGCGGCAAAAGGGTCGAGCGAGCGGCAGAGTCGCGATGTCTGCGCACCCGCGTGCCGATGGGCGGCACACGCAATCGAGAGAGGCCCTGTCACGCCGCCAGTAGCGTTCCGCACTCCCCAGCCACGCCACCAATTGCCGCCTCAGGGCGCCAGCCACCTCTTACACGCGGCCGGCGCCCTCTCGCGGCAAAAGGGTCGAGCGAGCGGGCAGAGTCGCGATGTCCCTGCGCACCTGGGTGTTCGCCGCCTATATGCTCTATCCTGTGCCAAGACGGACACGTTTTGACAATCAAAATCTACCTCAAAATTTGCGGCCGCTCCTCGAAATTTGCTGATCAAAATTTGCGGTGGCCCGGATCGAAACCTGTACTTTGGCCAACTGGCAACGCGTGGATCCGGCCCGCCTCGGCGGGTTACGGTTTAGCGCGACGACCGGGGGAGCTCTGATCGCCGTACTCACCGGGACGCTGGTGAGGTGACGGCTGACGGTGGGAGGGCACCCCCCCAGACAGCCCCTCCCGACGGGGACGCCATCACCCTCGCCCAGGGATCTACAACGCTGTCTCACAAGGTCCGACAGGTTCGGCACCGGGCACCGCCTCGGTATACAAAATGCGCCTGCGGGCGGACCCTCACAGATCACAGATCACAGAAGAGATCTTTCTCTCTACTCTCCGCCCTCAGACTCGAGATAGGAATTCCTGTATATGTTTCACGCGGCCACAATGTCAAAGCCTCTGCGGCCTGAGAGCCGGAGCACATGGTCGTGCGACGCGAACGATCGGCTTGTGAGCTGTGATCGAGTCCAGTTCCAAGGTGGGGTCGGGCTCTTGTACGCGACACGCACGGTGAGTCGTGCGGCTAGCGCACCAGCGGCCGAGGCCGGCAAGCATAGTGCTAGTTGAGCCATGGAGTCTTGCTGCTCTGCACATGCGGACAGAAGCTCGGCCACTGGCTTCTCGCACCATCCGAGCGGTTCGACTCCATGAGGACTACTTCCCAGCAGCTGAACCCGCAATATGTCTCTCTGATCAAAAAGCTTGATGGCAAGGCTCTCGTGCAGGACGAGCGGCGCCGAGTGTATGTTCCGTGGGGCAGCAAAGCATCTGCTCACAGGCCCTGGGACTCCAACGAATTGCCGCGAAAGAGCGCTGATGGCAACCTGTAAGCGCTGGGGGCGAGCCAGTGGCAGAAGCAACTTGCAGGTCTCGAGCCAGACCTCCACGTTCGGAAAGGATGGCGATAGTGACCGGGGCGGTTGTGTAAGCGCTACCATTGCTGCTGCTGCTGCCTCCTCTTTTGCCGCAGCTTCTGTCGCGGATACTGGTTTGGCGAGCACCGTCTCCTTGGAGGCTGTCGCTGTCGCCACCACAGCCTCCTCATCTTTTGCCGCTGGTGCGGCTGCATCTTCTGCTCCTGCTGCCGCTGCCTCATTGATCGCTCTCGCCGTTGCTTCCTCTCTCTGTCTTGTACCGTCGCTAGCGTTCACTACTGCTTCCGCCGCCCGTGCCTCAGTTGCGGTCACCGCATCCGCCGAAGATCCCCCCCCTGCTATCCTCTGAGCCCTCGCCTCCTCCGCCGCCTCCTCCGCCCCGGTCTTCTCCACCGCCGCCCTCGCCGCCGCCCGTGCCGCCTCCGCCGCCCTCGCCGCCGCCCTCGCCGCCCCCGCTGCCTCCGCCTCCGCCGCTGCCTCCGCCTCCGCCGCTGCCTCCGCCTCCGCCGCTGCCGTCCCCCTCGCTGCCTCCGCCGCCTTCGCCTCCGCCGCCTTCGCCTCCGCCGCTGCCTCCGCCTCCGCCGCTGCCTCCGCCTCCGCCGCTGCCTCCGCCTCCGCCGCTGCCGTCGCCCTCGCTGCCTCCGCCGCCTTCGCCTCCGCCGCCTTCGCCTCCGCCGCTGCCTCCGCCTCCGCCGCTGCCGTCGCCCTCGCTGCCTCCGCCGCCTTCGCCTCCGCCGCCTTCGCCTCCGCCGCTGCCTCCGCCTCCGCCGCTGCCGTCGCCCTCGCTGCCTCCGCCGCCTTCGCCTCCGCCGCCTTCGCCTCCGCCGCTGCCTCCGCCTCCGCCGCTGCCGCCGCCCTCGCCGCCTCCGCCCCCGCCTCCGCCGCCTCCTCCTCCTCTGCTGCCGCTTTCGCCGCTTCCGCCGCCGCAGCTTCATCCGCTGCCAGCCTCGCTGCCTCTGACGCTTCATCCACTGCCAGCCTCGACGCCGCCCTCGCCGCCTCCACGTCAAGGCGCTCGATTTCTGTCTTGGCAGCAACCGCCACCTTGGCTCGCCCCTGCCGGCCTCGCACGACTGCCTGCAGCTGGCTCGCCGACCGCTCCTCTGAAGCGACGCGCGCTGCCTCCGCCTCCGCTGCTGCCGCTTCCTCCACCGCCGCCACCGCAACCTCCGCCGCAGCCACCGCCGAAGCTGCTGCCTCCTCCTCATCATCCGCCCTCAGCGACTCTGCGCGAGCGCGTCGGCCCCGCACCTCAGCCTGAACCCCCACGGCAGACGCTTCTGCTGCTACCCGCTGAGCCCTCGCCTCCACAGACGCCGTCTCCTCCACCGTCTTCTCCACCGTCTCAGTACCCATTGTCTTCTCCTCTGCTCTTGCCTCATCGTATTTGCTTCCTCCCCCGTCGTCCACTCTCCATGGCTCTGCACTGTCGTTGGCAGTGTTGGACAACGCAGCCTCCCCGGGCTCCGCTTTGAGTGGATGAAGCGGAGCAAGGCCGGCCCCAGCTGGAAGTAACCAGGAGACTGCTCCGGTCGCAGGCTGCCAATAGTAGATGCGACCATCCTCAGCGGTCACAGCCTCCCATTCGGAATCGGGCAGCGGCAGCTCGTTGATCGCCTCAGGCTCAGCGTCTGGAGGGGCTGGCTCGGCCTCGGGTACCAACGCGTCGATGGTGGATGGCCTCGCAAAGATGGCCGCTGCGCTGCTCTTCCTGCTACGCATCTCTGCCAGCTCCGCATCGCGGGCTGCTCGGGCCTTCGCGGCCCAGTCCGCGTCCTGCTGCTGCCGATCTCTATCCTGACCTGCCTTGTCGCTGCACGCTTCGCACAGGCAGACGGCCTTGCGTTTTCCTGTCCAGCGGCATCGAGTCGCATCGTACCAGCCCCCGATGGGCAGGCTCGCAGACAGACGGGAGACCTCGGCCGTTGATGATCTCTGGACGGGCGGCGAGAGAGGCTGCCGCGGAAATGTGTCGCCTACGACTGCCGTCATCATCCTTGAACCCCACGCTCGGGCAGTGCCTGCGGGCGTGTCGCCGCCTGTCCCAGCGCTGCTGACGGATGCCATACGAGCAGAGTCCCGAGGACCTGCACGCAACACGTTGCGCGTTCGTCCAGCGCGAAACCGTAAAAAAAATTTAATTTTTTCTCTCTCTTTCTAGGTTTGTTGTTGGCAAAGCAAGACACAGCGCTCACACAAAATAAAATTACAGATTCACAGTGGGCGGAAACTTTTCATGCTCCTTCTCTCTCTCTCGAGGTTTATACCAGATTGCGCTGGGGATTTTTTTCGCTATTGTGTCATTACCAATCCCTCGTGCCACTCTCTCGAGGTCTCTGAAAACGAGCGCTCGGCCCCCCCCCCCCCCCCTGGGGGCGACGGTTACTGGGCGCCTGGCGACAGCCCGCGCCTGGGGCTCCGCGATCCGTGGTTGGGTTCGGCCGCTCTAAGATGCGGCCGTCTCGTGGGGCTAAGCCCAAGATCACACGCCCGCGCGTTTATGCGCGGCTGCGGCCGATGCATGGGCGCGATGCTGGCAAGCCGGAGCTGTTCCAGATCGATGAGACGTCGCTCTCGTATGTGAAGGAAGAGGGTGGTGATCCGTGCCGCTACGTTTTTGACCAGGTATTCGGAATGGACGCGCAGCAAGAGCAGGTGTACGAGGCCATTGGCGCCACTGCAATCGAGCAGATGCGGCAGGGCTTCAACTCGACACCGTCTCGGTTGCCATTAAGCCAAAGCCGAGGAAAATGCCGTACATCCTGGCTTCCTCCTTGGGGGGGGGGGGGGGATGGAGGTGGCAGGCATTATGGAATGACAGCAAGGCGAGTCATGTGGAAGCGAGGCAGCAGGGAGGACAGGAGGGGAGAGGCGGCAGGGAGAGCGTCAAGGGCGGCAGTGGGAGCCTTCTTCGGGTTGAGGTTCTCCTCGGGAATTTCGCTCTTGGAAACTCCTGCCATCCAGTCCTACGACATAGCAACGTGCAATGCGTGATACGACGTCGCGCGGAATTTCACTCCGAGCGGCGGCTCCAGCCTGCACGTGTCCCGACGTGTCGGCGAGGGTGTGGGTGTGGCCAAATCTGGGCGGCGGCGGAGGCGGCGGCGAAGGCGGCAAGCCCGGCGGGGGCGGCGGCGGTGGAGGTGGCGGAGGCAGCGGCGGATTGCTAGGCGGCGGCGAGGGCGAGGGTGGCGGAGGAGCTGGAGGCGGCGGACTAGGAGGTGGCGGCGGAGGAGGCGGCGACGGAGGTGGAACGGGCGGCGACGGCGGTCCCGCTGGTCCTCCTCCGCCCCACGGGTTGAAGTCCCAGATCCCTCGCTCTGTCCCAGCCGGCGCGTCTGTCACGGCTGGCGCCGCGATTGGCGCGACGAACGCGCTGAGCGCGAGCGGAAGAGACATTTGGACGTCGGCCGTCCCCGACGCGCAGCCGGAATTTTTTACGCCCAGCCGGAATTTTTTTCCGCGCCAGACATTCGGAAAAAGGCGCATTCATTCTCACACATCATAAAGTCCACACACTCATGGCCGACATGCGGAGGACCATCTGTTGGCTCTTGACCCCCCCCCCCCCCCCACACCCCCCTTTCGACCACGCGAACATCGACCGCGCCGACTTTCGCGGCGTCGTGGGCTTTGAGAAGGCGTCCTTCCTCATGGTGCAAGGCGTCCCCGTCACGGATGCCTTTGGGAACGCCGTCCTTGCCACGGGCGCGATTGCCGGTTAGACGTCCGGTTTTCCGGAGTCTCCCCACTCTCTGTCTCCCGCCCCCCCGGGAGAGAGAGAGAGATGTTTTGTTCCCCCCGGGTGGATGGGCTAATAACACACCACAGCAAGACATAGTGGTGTTTGAGAATTGGAGAATGGTCTTCTACACCGAGACCGTGCGTTCTGACTTCTGTCTCTCTGCTGTCTCTAGAGGGCAGACAGCGCCCCAAAATCCACCTGTGTGCACACCATGTCGCACTCTAGATGTCGCATGGGCTGTTCCCGGCTCGCGTTACACAATTTGTTTTCGGTCATTGCGCCATTCGGTACCTCTCGGTGCCTTCCAGAGGCAGCTGCGGCCCCCCGCCGTAGCGCCGAGTGAACGGTGGCACTCGGCAGGTGGCTGACTGGCTGTGGTGAGATTTGCCCGGATTTCGCGCGATCGCTTCTTGACTCTGAAAGCAGAAAGGCTTCTTAAGGGAACGGAGAGCCGGAGACCGTGCGACCGGCGGACCACACGACAACCCAACCAACTCTACAAACACAGCCACGTGTACGCACTAGACATATCAATCATCACCGTCGAGGACCTCGGTCCTCAGCCCCCGCCCACGGCGCTGAGAGGGTGAGGCGGTTCAAGCCGCCGGCGCCGTCGAGGGCAGGCGCACAGGGAACTTCTCGCCGTGGCGGAGGTACACGTCTGGGTCCTCAGTGCTCCGCTTCAGCCACGGCTGGTCGGGGACGGGCACAAAGGACGCGGCCGGCTTTGCGCGGAACGGGCACTCGCCAGCCTTCGCCTTCTGCTTGCGGTCCTGCACCGCCTTCGGGTACTCGGAATCGATCCACAGGGCGCGCCACTCCTTGACAGGCATCGTCCACGAGCGGGCCATCGCCTCGTGCTTGTTCTTTGGCGGCGCGGAGTGGATCGACTCACACTGGTCCGCCGGGTAGCCGAACTCCACGAAGAGCGCCTTGACGGCCGCCTCGAGGTTGCCGTCGTCCGTCGGCCGCTTCGCAAACTGCCCGGGCACGATGTAGTTGTCCTTCTCGCCGCCCTGGAGGTACTCGATCTGTTTCGGGCCCGGGAAGCGGTCGTTCGTGATCTCGGCGTAGAGAGACTGCAGCGTCTGCTGGTTGTCGATGTTGAACCAGTGCACGGCGTTATCGACCTCGGGCGTCTCCCGCTGCAGAAAGTTGGGGTTCCAGGTGTGGTGCAGGACGGCGTCATCAGGCGGCTTGCCGTTCAGGCAGTTTGCGCCGCAGCGGTTGAGGGGGAAGCCGAGGCAGACGTTCCGCGAGATGCAGGGCGCGTTGTAAGTGGGCGCCTTCTTCGCGTCCCCGTTCTCTCGACTCTGGAATGCGAAGTTGAGAAACTCGTTCATCTGCTGCTTGGACGGCGTGATGTCCCTCTTGACCTGGCAGGTGTTCTCGCCGCAGAACTGCTCCTTGAACGGGAAGGCGCTGAGCACGCAGTTCCAGAAGCCCGCGAAGCCGCCGGTCTTGAGGCGGAAGTCGCGGATGCCGGTCGACTTGGAGTGCTCCATGTTGTTGTACGGGTTCGGATTGACGATGCCTTGCGGCTCGAGCGTGCAACAGTTGAAGGGGCTGCTGGTGTACCACTGCTTGTTGGTCACATTCATGAAGTAGACGTTGATGTGGAGCTCGTCGAGGAAAGCGTCGACGTCACACTGGGAGTACTCCTTCCCGTCCTTGGTCCCGCAGACTGGCAGCCCGTTGGGCACCATGCCGCATTCTCTGTCCTCCTTAGCGCACTTGCGGGGCCCCGTCCACTTGTTGCCCTGCCACTCCTCGCCCCACGAGCCAGGGAACCCAGCGTGCTTCCAGTTGGCGGGCTCATTCCCACCCAGGTAGTTGAAGTTGGCGGCGGTCGCAGCAGCGCCGACATCCTTGACGCCAATCGTTGCGAAGGCATCTTTGCACTGCTTCTGCGTGATGTGACCGGTCTGCGGGTCGGGAACGAGGTCGCCATTCTTGACCAGCGCCGCGAGGGCCGGGCAGGTGATGCGCTGCCACAACGGCTCGCCGACCCACTTACCCAGCGAGTCGTCGTAGTGGCCGAGCGGCTTGCCGTCCTCGGTCGTGTAGGGAGCGTCGTACCTCGTGACGGGCTTCTTCGCCGTGGCGCCACGGGCCGCGGCGGCGCCGCGGGCCTGGACCTTGCGTTCGGTGATGTAGCCCCGCGAGGGCTTGGCGCACGTGGGTGGCGTGAGAGGAGCGGACATGGCGGAGTGATGGCGACACGCTATCTGCCCTAGGCCTAGCTCCTTCCTTTGGTTTTGCAGGACTAAGGCCCTGATCATCGTCATTGCAATTCGGGCGCGGCCTCTCAGCCCCCAGTTACATGTACATGTACCTCGCCAAAAAGAACCGATCGAAGCCAGCGTCGCTGCAAGAAGAAAAAATCCAAGAGAGGGGTCGGGGGGCGGGAGAAAGAATAAATCCTGCAGTCTTGGGGAACGGAACGGCACTGTCGCTGGTCTGGTGGGTGCCAGCTCGACTCTGGGGGGACAATAGTAACTTTTTGAAGACTGCTCGGCATTGCCACGGTTTTCTTTTCGGGGGTGCCCGCGCCGCCTAGCTCTGCGGACGCCCCCCCCGCACCCATCTGCCTGGTGGATGGGTGTGGCGGGGGACTCCTGGTGGCTTTTCGTTACAAATTTACGGAATTACGGAATTACGGATCGACCCCCCCCTCCCTCCCCGTCCCGCGGGGCCCGGCCGTGAGACGCCGATCTACGAATCAAGTTGGGGCGCGGGCGGGGCCGGCGCGCGGCGGCCGGCGCGCGGTTTGAACATGCTCTTGTTAAATTAAACCCCGCGGCAGCGCCTTCGCGGGACTGGGCCTCAAGAGATCGGCCGGAGACACACGTACACTTGTGACTGTGCGAAATGCGCGCGCGTGTGGGCGAGCCGAGCTCGCGCTACATGGGCCTTGAGGTCAATCTGTGCGGGCTGGGTGTCAGTGAGAGAGAAGGAACGGCTGCCGCGAGGCTCGGCGCCCGTCTTGCCTCACACGAAGCAGCTCCACACTCCGATGCCCGCGAGCGCGACGCCGAGCGCGGTGATGCCGCGCGCGGCGAGGAGCTCGAGCTTGTCACCGCGAGAGGCGCCGCCCGCGCGGACCCGCCGCGCGAGAGTCTGGCCGAGCATGAGGCTCGGCAGCACGTAGCCGATCGAGGTGGAGACGAGGGCGCCGGTGACGGCGGCGATGAGGCCGAGGTTGGTCAGCGAGATGGCGATGGCGGTGGTGAGGGCGAAGATGCCAAAGGTCGTCGGCACGCGCGCCGGCGCCTTCCCGAAGACCGACGCGAGCAGCGCCTGCGCCGAATCACGCAAACCGACGTGGATGAAGGGGTACGTGAAGACGATCTGCGAGCCGATGGCGACGCGCGCGAGCTGCGCGAGGCGGTCGGTCGGCGCGTAGTTGTTGAGGATGAAGCCGTCGCACGCGCCTCCAAAGGTGAGGAACCCGGCCGCCATGACGACGGCGGTCAGGGCGGCGGAGAGCGCGAAGCCTCCGGCCTAGGAGAGAGCGCCGTGCGTCGGGAAGGCAGGAGCTGTCAGCACGAGAGGGGCCAGAGGCATCCCGCCGTCAGCAGCGAGAAGCGGCGCATCTTGCGCTCCTACTCATTCGATGGTTAGATCATCGGCGGTGAGCGACTAGCGAGGAGGAGCGGCGCGTCGTTCGTTCCTTGGCGGGCGCTGCGCCGGCGCCGGGCGCGAGCTCCTTGTAGAAGTTGGGCGCGACAAAGTGGCAGAGGAAGGCGGAGGCGAGGATCGAGACGAGTACGAACACCTTCCCGCCGAGCACGAGTGACTCGGCTACTGGTGGCGGGGCTACTGGTGGCGGGGCTACTGGTGGCGGGGCTACTGGTGGCGTGGTGGCGGAGCGGGAGGGCGTTGATTGCACACGAGCGCGTCGGGCGGGCGGTTGGTCACCGAGCGGTTGAAAGGTCCATGACCGCCAAACACAGTGGAGGGCATGGCTACGTTGTGGCGGAGCAGGGCGGAGGGCTGGGGAGGACGGCCGCCTTGGGCGAGAAGGCGAGAGCGCCCTCGAAGCGCGGCCGCAGCGGCGGAGGCACCGCGGCGTGCAGCGCCGAGCCGGGCCCGTAGGAGGACATGCGGAGGACCATGAAGGCGGCGGTGTAGAGCAGTCCGGCGACGCCGAGCGCCGACGTGAAGGAGAGCGCCGAGAGCGAGGGCAGCAGCGAGAGCGGCAGCGTGCCAAAGGCCGTCAGGGCGGCGATGGCGCCCGTCCGACTCG